AGCAATGACGTAAACAAAAGAAAATTTTAACCAAAATTTCGAACGTGTTAGAAAGGATTAAAAATTTCAAAAAATAATTTAAAAAATTCTTTGGTCTTTCATCTTAATAATAACAAACATTTTGACGATAAAACTTTTTTATTAAGTTTGTGGCCTTTTTCATTACGCTATGATGTTTTCCGCGAAAAGGTGGAGGTACCTATAAGAATTTAAATCATCAGTTAGTTATGTGCCATGCGTGATACACGCGTAGGCGATCATATATCTTTCGATACATGACTGACGAGGCAGATTTTTTTCCGCATTAGGTTGCCATTTTTTCCTGCTGTAGACCGGTCTGTCCTGCTATTTATCCATAGTTGGGGGAGCAAGAAGAGGATTCATACCTTTCGTAAGTGAATGTAATGGATTCGAACTCGGCTCTTCGATTCCTCAATCCGAGCAGCTATCCATTACTCCACCGTGCCTCCTAACACCTAACAGAACACAAAAATTTAGACTGTCATTCATTTTCATTTTAGTTCAAACCTGTTGAAGAGCTTAATGAAATGTAAGCTTTTCAGAATATTTTTAACTAGGAAAAATACACCATAGAAACAAATTACTGACTCAATGTCTTTAAGAGAAAACAACACTAGTAAATGAAGATATTCCATAGGCAAAAATTCCACGTGCTGTGATATGTATCGAATCAAAATTAAAATTTTTCAAGAGGTCAGTCAAACAAAAAGTAATTTTTAAAATCATATTTTACCAAAAATAAAACCTCAAAAAATTAATATTATTTTTATTTATTAATGCACAAAAACGTGCAAGTGGCTGTTTCAAATGATGCAAAAACACTTGACACTTAACTGTCATTTATGAAAGTTTTCATTTGTCTACGTTCGTCGTTAAGAAATTCTTTCTGATTGAGTCAAACAAAAATGTATCGAGTTCCTCATTGAACTCTTTGTTTTCCTTTAGAGATTTCTAAGAACTTTTGCATCGTTTTGCAACAGAAAAGATCGAAAATACATAATTCCATATTAAAAAGCATTGAAGACTTAAAAAATATGGTTATTTAAAATTAACATTGCGAATAAATACGTGCAAAGGTTCGGTGAGTAAATAAAAATAAAATAATTAACTAAGTAGAGCATTTTCATTTTTTAATATTTTTAAAAATTGCCAACACCCAACATAAACAATATTTCAACAGTCGACAATGGTAACGTAAGAATACAAAGAAAATAAACACATTTTTAATTACCAAGTGGCTGATGCTTTGTTTTGTTTTTTTAAAAAAAAAAAAAAGAAGAAGAAAGGTGTCTGATTGGAAAATTGTAGATTTGATTAAAGTCCACAACAGTGAACAGGGAAAAAAATGTGTGTGTGTGGGGGGGTCGTCTTTCTTTTCGGGACGGTGGTTATTTTCTTATTTAAACAAAATATCAATTTTACAAATGCTTGCATTTGTTTTTTGCAAAAATAAATCTACGTGGAAAATCTTATGTAGAACATGGGCAAATATGTGAATAAAAGAAATAAAATAATAAAAAATTAAAAAAAATGGTGTTTAGCCATTACAGAAACCAAAATGGCGGATCGTTATAAATTTACTTCCGGATGAAAAAAAAAAGTTTATTGAAAATAAAATCAAGAATTGGAATAAAAGGCAATAAATTTATTATAAAATAATGACATTAATGCTGAAAATATTTCTTTACTGTTATTAGTTGTGAAGTTAAAAAAAAAATACAACCACCGCCCGCCATAATGTAATGGGGAAAATGTGAGAATATTGAATAGTACAGATGGAATTAGTTTGTTTACAAACCATGAACATAAGCTTAAAAAATGTCATACAGGGCCTTTTTAAAGACATACATAAACACACACATACATACATCCATACTGAGGATTATGGAAAATGTATTGATTCAAGTTTTCATCTGAGATCGTGATGTTAATTAAGGCAAGCAAGAAAAAGTAACATAACATGGCGAGGAGAAAGAAGTTCGTGCTTCTAATGACCGGTTAAAAATTAAAAGAAAAAAGAAAATCGGATAAACAAACAAGGCACTAAAATTTTGCAATTTCAGGCATGCTATCAACAAATTCATAGTCACAATTTTGCAAAAAAAAGGTAATAAGCATTAGCTGACAAAAGAGTAGGCTTCTAGAGAAAATAGAAAAACAATGCAATATAGACTAGATTTCTTATTTCACATTTATGAGATATTGAAGCATTAGAAAATATTCAAGACAAAAATATTTTTAAAATCACGAAGAATAAATTACTTTGAGACTATGTGATGAGTTATTCTACAGATAGGATGATCAGTGTCACTAACAAAACACATACACGAACTACTGTTAGAATTTTTAACAGTTGAAAAATGCAAATTTCCCTTAAAAATCTAAAGCAATCATTAAAAAAAAAATCGAACGTAATGTTTGATGGATTTGTAACCAAAAACAGAAAAAATTATACACTGAATTGTGAAATTTTGTCATTCTTTCATGTAAGCAAAAATTGAAAAATCATAGTGATTTAAAATTTAAAAAATACCCATTAAATCTTAATAATGAAATAATTCTTTTTTGCATGTGATATAATACTTGACTATTCATCGAAATTTAAGATCTATCACTTAAATCCTAAATGATGATTATGAACTAAGACAGAATATGCAAAAGCAAAACGGATAAGATTTATTTATAAAATAATAAAATTATGACTAAAAAAACTGTAGTTTTTCGCAACTATCATTATTGATAGTACGTCATTAAAACATTACTCTTTCTTTTGATAAAAAAAAAAGCTATCCACGACTACTACTACCAACGATTTTATTATGATTATTGTTAATATTGCATGTTTTGGAATCGGTTAATGTTGAAAATGAAAAATTAGTTTTTATCGATAACATTTTCAGTTGTTTTTATTTAAGCTTAAAAATCCATAAGAGGAAATAAACTGACATATGCAAGTAAAAAATAAATCCGGATTGTCAAGATTGTCCGATGAATTTTTCTTTTACTTAAATTTGATCTTGCTAAGAAGCTTTTCTAAACAAAGGGCTTAACAAAAACAATATATATTCTGTTTTTTATCGATATCAAATAGCGAGATTTATGAAGTAGCTGATATTATAAAATCTTGACACCAAGTGTAGTGATCTCAAATTAAAACACTTTACAAAAGAAAAAAACCTATACAATAAAAATAAAATATAAGCTAACCAGTCTGTATCTTAAATTTAAAAGCACAAAGATCTTCATTTTGCGATGAATAGAGAAAATAAATCTGAAACTCGAGTGAATTCCCTCGTTTAAAATATTCTAGTAGAGAGGAGTTACTTTTAGTTTTAATTAAGAAAAATAAATAACTTTCTGAGACCAATAAAGATAAGAATATATTGAAAATGATTACATGGAATTAATGAAAGAACTTTTGTAAACTGAAATAAATTAGCATTAAGTTTTATGTGAACAACTGAGCAATGAACAAAGTATGAAATATTTTTAAGGTAATTTGAAAACAGGCTTTAAAAAAAATCAAAATAGAAGCGTACGCACATGGATGAGGAGTGCAATTAGTGCATTTATAAGGCTTTTTTAGGTTTAATTTAAATAAACTAATAAAATATAGATGTTGCAGACTTAAAAGAAGTTGACTCTACTGATCAAGAAATGTTTATAACAGAAGAATTGAGGATCATTAGACATATCTAGAACAAAGACTAAGAAGAGAGTAAAATGAAAACAATCAGAAAATGAGTACCGATTTTCAAACATAATAAAAACGATTAATTCCAACATTGAACTGATAACATCTTAATCTTCTTTCGTATTCAATTTTGTTAATATCACCAGTAAGTTAGATAACATAACAATTTTGTGTTGCAATCAAATAATCCTAGTTTTTATAACTTGACATGAGACTATCTTTCAACAAGATAGTATAATTCTAACCTGAGTATTTTCTCTTTATTACAGGCAGCCATATTTAGGTTGGGCAAATGTAAAGGGGAAGAACAATTTTTTACCGTTAGAGGGATTTAATTTATCTTAACTAAAAGATACATCTGATTTACTTAGAAATATCAACTCTAAAATAAGATCTACATTTTTAATACCATCTACAATCATTAACTCATACCTAATGCATTTTTTCATTAACTCCAAGGAAATAGCAAAGACCGTGGAGCAAGAGTAAAGACATTTATTTCTTCATGTGATAAGAAGCCCAAAATAACAAAAACAAAATAAAAAATTGAAGACATTTTCCTAAAAATATCTTTTTCATTCTCCAAAATGGAAAAAAGATGAATTTCCACACAAAGCAGCATTAATTAGTCCTCATCAACATTTTCACGCAATTTAAAAAAAAAATCTAAATAAGATAACGTATAAACACATACACACGTGTTTAAAAACAATTTTATAAAAGAAAACCATTTACAAGAAAAGAATACTTATGCACAATTATTTTAGCATCCAGTAAATAAATGCTGTTTTAGGTATTCAGTTATTCCAAAATTAAACCTACATATTTTTCCACTAAAAACACCCATGATTTTAAGGTCTTTATGAAAGTTATTTCAGAATGCAAATTATACTGAATATACAATACATTATTAAATTACTTTATCTCTACAATTATTAGTTTGTGTCCCCCAATTTTCCGATTTGACGTAATTTAGAAATCAAACAATGAAGATAGAAATTCTGGGATACAGAAAATGCCGTATTCAATATGTATTATAATTAGACTTCTTTTAAACTAGATATTTAATTGTAACTGTAATTCCAGGTTCTTTTTTCCTGTATATTCAAACTGAGTTCTAGTATTTATAATGTAATATTTTCCTTCTTTTCCGCAACCAATCTCCATAATGCTACAGTATATTTTCCTATATCGTTATTTGATTCATATACAACATTCGTTCTTCATTTCATCTTAATTTCCAGGTAAATGTTTCCCTATTGAGAAGTCTTGAGAGTGACCTTACCTTGAAACCAGGCCAGTGAGAGGTGGACAATAGGGACAATCTGGTGATAACGTAGCCAAAAACGAACCAATATGGAGACTAAAAGATAAAGCAAACAGAAGAGGGAGGAGGAGGAGTTAAAAAGAGCGAATGTAGAATGAAAAATAGAGGGAGGAGGTGATGGTGACGAGATATCATTAGCTTGTAACTTTGTGGGTGATCGTTAAAAACACTTAGAACGAATGACTTGCATAACTACGTTTGAATATTGGAGGGAGAGGTTTAGAAAAATAATAATACATTTCCGTACATTCATTAAAAAAAGATATAGTAAAAAAACAAAAGTACATTGAAAAAAAAAAAGAGCGGAATAAAAACACAACATTAAAGATTGCAGGGACGTTAACTGCAAAAATAAGTAGAGAGAGAGAAAATATTTATTTTGTTTTTGTTAAAGAAGCTGCGAGATGTTGATAGAGGTTTTAAAAACACTGCTTTCTCGTTTAATCAAAAATTTATAAGAAATTTTATTAAAGTTATTGCGAATACACTATTTAAATAGAAGAAATTACGAAATCACAGTATTATTGCTACAAAACTTAAAATACTGAAGACTGATATTTCAATAAGCAAAAACGGCGCGAAGCTAACACATTTTATAAGATTGCATTTGATTGGATGAACACGTTTGTCTTCGCCCTTTATTACCTAAGCTCAGCTATTCGGTTTTGTTCGGCTAAACTCGGTCAATTTCAGATTAAACTTTTTTTTTCCCAATTAATATTTTACCAGTAATCATTTTCACTGTATATGTTATAATTTTTAATCTTTTTTTAAATATAAATATAAAACATTACTCTTGAATAATTTCGAACGATATTATTTTTTACAATATATAGTTTTTTTTAATTTTTTTAAGACTTAAAAAAGTATTTTTCAAGTCAATTGAAAAATATCTTTGGTCAGCTTTGTACTATACAGTACAAAATAATGTTTTTAATTTAAAAGTAATTTATACAATCGAGAGAATAAGTTTTGTTTGTATCTTTATTGTTTTTTAACCTTAAGGTCTCTATTTTTATTTCCTTTTTTAATGACCTAATTAAGTCTAATTTTATGTAAAGATTTAATAATTATTATGGATGATTTGATACTTTTTTGACACTGCATAAGTATTTCATTGTCAATTATGCATGTAGATGCTAAACTTTAATCATGAAACTGTATAAATCATGTTCTTTATAATTCGTTATGACACTGACCCTCACTCATCAAGCTATATCACTATTATTCTGCCTGTCCCTTTTTAAATTTAGTGTTGAGAACTTCCGTTGTGATCAATTGCTTTATTGACTGACACGGAATCAATCAGGTTTTAAAGTTTTGTTTGTTGGGTGCTAATTTGCTCTGATAAGTCTTGTTTGTGTATGAAAATGAAATTTTTTAGGAAGAAAAAATTGAACGAGTTTGGGATTTTTGCACAATTTCATTGAGCACAAGATTTCAATTTTTAATTTTACTTAAGTAAGTTGAAAGCAAAATCATTTTCAGAGATATTTATAATTTATTTCTCACGTTAAATTATTTTAATGTTTAAATTTCTTAAAAAGTTGTTTGACATATGAAGGATTGAATACTAAAAATAGACAATTTTGCGTCGATTACGCATACTTTATTCATTCATTCATTATTAGCTTATTTTCCGAAAGTTATTCAACTGAATATTGTCGAAAATTATTTTTAATTTCATGGCTTTTTTATGTGTTGCGGTTACATTATATTATAATATAACCGTTGTGATAAAAATCTACCAAATAAATTTTCACGGAAAAAATGCACCACACTCAATGACCAATTGACCACTTACAGCATGAAATTGACTCTCCTCGAGTTTTGACCTATTTTCAATGCTGGCTAAAAACCTTAAACATTCATTGTTTCTGGTAAATAAAACTGCTTACTGTTGCATTCATGGTTACTTTTGCTGAATTTCACACCCACTTGAACTTTGGGCAGACTTTAAAATTTTCTCTTAGATTTGTAGCGTTTGTGAAGAAAACCTTAAATATAAATTAAGATTTGGTAAAATGAATAAATTAATTAGACAGATTCATATTATAGTTGACACATTAATATATTCTATTAATTAATCAGATAATATAAAAATCTTTTATTAAAAATTTCTAATAATATACAAGGATCAGTGGAAAAGTTCATAGGCTGACAAAGATACTCTCATGGAACATGACCAAACTAGATTTATTTTTCAACATAATCCTCCTTGCAGTCCACACACATCTTCCATTGGTGTTGCAGTGCTTGGATCCCATTGGTGAAGAAACTTTCATCCTGTGGATCAAAAAAGTCATGAACAGCAGATACGACGTCATCATCACTGCTATACTGGTTCCCAGCCAAGTGTTTTTTCGTGTTGGGGAACAGATGATAGATGAGGCCAAATCAGGAGAATAATGAATGTCATTAAATAGTTCAAAGCCACTGTCATGCACAGCAACCATTAAAACCTAGGGCATGTGATGTAACATTGTCCTGAAAACAAGATCCCTTTCATCAGTTTTCCTGCATGTTTGGTTTTGATAGGCTTTCATAACTGCCTCAGCAATTTGGCATAGTACTCTCCATTGGTGGTGTGGCCCTTTTACAGGAGCCAAACCGAGAGGTTGCTTTTTTACCCCCACCCTCCATCTGTGGCCTTCCCTAGTAGCTCACAAGTCTATGGTGCAGTTTCTCTTTGGGAATATATCTTCCCCTGATATAAAAAGAAACTCCAGCTTGCAGTCCTCAATTTGGAAAAACCCAAGACTCACTGTTTCCCCCCTTTATGGAATATGTCCTCAACTGAAGCATAGTAAATGAATCTGTTCCATTTGAATCTAGACTCCTAAATATAGTTTCTCCAGAAACACAAAAGAATCTTCATATTATATGTAAGGCCCTATTTTTGTTTTCCTTTCATTCTGCTTGACAATGTAGATATATGATATATTATTCTCTGCATGGGATACATGTGTATATATATATATATATACATACATATATATATAGTTTTGTGTATGTCTTAGTGGTATAAAAGTCTCTTTGAGAACAAGGTATGTTTGTCATTCCTTTTCCTTTCAGCCATTCCATTCTGCCCATGAAATATCAATGTTATTATATCATGGATATAATAATACTCATAATGGGGGAATTTATAAATGGGAGAATAAATCTTTCTTCCATAACTCTCTCCTGTTAAACTTTTGTGCAGATGATCCTCTCACAGGATATTCTAATAGCATTGGCTTTTTGATTTATAATCAATTGCTTGTTATCCATATATAGTGAACACAATCAATGTTTTCTTTGGTGGTGGCAGTTGCATGACATCCAGACCTTGTGTCATCTTCAAGGCTCCCTCTTAAATTCAGCTGCTCACCTTTGTACTGTTGATAAAGCTGGAACATTGTCCCTTTAATGTAAGAACCATATCAGCATGAATGTCTTGTGGAGCTGAACCCTTTTTTTGCATGTACTTGATAACACTACAATGACAAATTTTGTCCATTTTCAAGATAAGTTGCTATTAGTTACTTTTTAAGTCTTTTTTGAACAGTCAGATGTCAGTTTACCTGGAAAGAAACAATGCATTTTAACACATGCATAAGAAGAGTTGAAATTAATGCATTTAATGTTTCACAGCTCTAGCATCACTCCCTCATATAATATCGCGACTGAGTGGATAGCAACTTGAAATAAAATCCAATATAATTACAATTTACAGGGAAAAATAAACTATAAATAACATTAAAACATATGTCAAATTATTAATCTGCAAAGTTTCAGCTTTTAAGCATGTATAGTTATTGTTATTAGAAAATTTATGCCCCTCAAATAACATACATTCAGATAAAGGAAAATTAAATATTTGCATTTTAAATATTTGTATGCATTTTATATGTCTATGTCCATGCACCAGGTATAAATGAAAGGACATTATATCAAATGGTCAGTTGGCATGATAGTCTATGTGGAACCCTAGAGTAGTCATAGTAACAGTCCCAGGCAAAGTAGTAAGAGGAGTCATTAAGTAATCTTTCTGTTTTTAGTCTATTTCCTGCCATACAAAAACTGACTTCATAGGAAGAAACTGGACTAAAAAAAAAGAAAAAGAAATACCTCAACAATTTCAGGAATACAAAAATTTTGGATTTATTCATCATCTACTTATTCTTCTTTTCCATTACTTTTCTTTGTGGATGAATTGAATATTTTGCAAAACCAAATTTTTATCCCCTCAACCATCCACAAATTCATTTGAATTTTTCTGACAATTATACAATGGTTTAAAATCATATCAATCCTCTCAACCCTATTTTTCTTAACTTTTTTCCAACAAGTGCATCCCACAAAAGTTAAAATAGTGACTGGCAGAGAATAAGATGGCATAATGATTTGGACTACTTCAAATTGTTTTTGCACCATGACGCTCAGGAGCAAAAAAAGGTAGCAGATATTAAGGAAGACTTAAGTGAAAGGAATTTTTTTGAAAACTAATTTGTTAATTTACTATTAACTTTTTAAAAACCATTTCACTTTAAGAAAGACAATAAAGCCACTAAGAGGCAGGGGAGTTACTGAATGTGAGAGAATATGAACTATTAAGGAGAGAGAACAATAAAAGAAGAGAAATTAAGAAGACAGAAGAAAGTGATTGACGTTGCATTTTGATTTTTGAAAATGAAAGTTGACTGGAAAGTAAGAAGCCAGAAAAGAATTCCACAAGTGAGAAGTGCAATAGAAGAAACTGTTAGTATAGTTATATCTAGCTAATTCTGCTGAAATTTTAAATTAATTTTTTTAATGTGTTTTGAGTATATAATCTAGCCACTTTCATTTAGTTTCTTATTCCTTTTGTTTATATTTTTATCAATATTGTTATTAAATATCCCACAATGTGATAATAGAAGATCTGCCAAGAAAGGTGAAATGTTGTAAGAACATGGACATAAATTTACTGTGGATGATTTAGCAATTAAAATACTTTCTATATCCCAGCATTTTTTTAAATCAAAATATGGTCAAACCTATTATGGTGATCA